CCTTCTCAGCTCCGTACTATCGTTCTCCTCCATGTTGGACTGTTGCTGTGGTTATTGCTGGACTATTCACATCACAAAACCTAGATATATATATCCCACGTTATAACTTCTGTCAGTATGAGAGAGAAAGAATATCAGGAGACATCGTTCATTGATGACTTGTGTGTAAAGATGTTCACCTCGATACCACTTCTCTCAGGGTGACACAGCAGGTACGTCCTCAGCAGGCAGGTCTTCCAAGTCACACACTGCTCTCGTCCACACCTGTACATTACCAGAAGTTTCTCATTAGTAACCTTTATACACACGTCAGTTTTGTTACTTTTAGGGGCGGGAGGTTGAGGTGTGTGAAGGAATTAAAACAAAACATGACGCTGAAACTTCCAAACCTGACTAACTGTATTAACATAAATATGACACAACATACACGGCAAGTATATTGTAAACTTAACCAGTGTTTACAAATGCCTAATATTAGAATCTACTATAAAAATGGGTTAGGATAGAATAGGTTTAGGTTAAGTTAAGTTAGCATTAAGGTAGTTAACCTTCAGGTGAAATAAGCTGGAGCGATGATTCTTCAGGTGATCCCAATAAACTTTATATAAAATATTTTAATTCTGAGAACCACAGGTTGAGTTATTGTCCTGGAAGTGAACCACCAAACAATTCTTATTTATAACCTTCTCTCCAACAGGTAACTCCCACCCTTAAGAAGAAGTAAAAAACAAAATACACTTAATGGATCAGATATTAATAAGCTTTTGTGTAATCAGGTGGAATCCAGGTGACCCACTATATATAACACTCGCCTCTAAACTTAACGATCTACAGTAGACTCTAAAGCCCCGAGCGTTACAAACTCTTATAGATGTTATGCCGCTGACCAATAACACAGGAAACAGGGAAGTTTCTCCTCATTATGAATTTTCCCTTCTCATTTGGTGTTACAATGGATATATAGTACTACCTCCCCCCACACACACCACCCTCTAGGACTTACAGCAGCTTAACATTCGTGTGGATCCTGCAGTTGGACACTGAGGGGTGCCTACAACCGTCTCAGAAGCACAATGTTTAGATAACAGTACCCAGGTGGGGGGTGAAGGCCAATAGAGTGTAGTTCATGCTGCCTTCTTGTGTAGGCCTACCGGAGGCTTATTTTCAGTACGTTATCTACACTATCCCCTAACGGTCCCGTCAGCCTATACAATATTTTGAGAGAAAAATGTTGCCAGAGTTTACAAATAAAGATATACGGTATAACTTACACCATATCTAAATGCTATGGAAACAAAGTCAACCTCAATACCTCTCTTTCTATTGGAAATATTTAATTAATGCATCAAACTATTGGCAGCCATCCACACAACACATAAATCTGGGTCGTCTACAATACCTCTCAAGGTACAAACTTTATTATGTACAAAGTTCACCGCTACCGTAAAAAACCTACGAGCGGTATTTAAAATATCCGATTGTTCTGTAAAGCGAGATAAGTCCTGTACTGACAAGTCTGACAGTGACAAGTCGGGATGATTTACTGCTTTTTGAAGTCACTTATCACATAAAAGCCTCTTATATACAGGACAACTATCCGTCCTGACAAACCTTTTCGGGACATGGCAATGAGATAAGGGACAATCCCTAGAAATATGGGATACCTGACAACCTCAAGCAAAATATAGTGGATATGTGTATTTATATAGAACAAATATTAGTCTACGTTGTTTTCAGCGTGTTTGTCGTTTTTTAATGTTTGAAGCGGTCCTGACAGCCTCCTAACATTACCAACGGATCATTTCAACTTAAACTCCCTATTATTTTTTATCGGCAAAACATAAATAACTTACTAGCTGAATCAGTTATTTAGTACCTAAGTAAGACCTTCTAGCAGTACAATATCTTATCAAGAGATAGGAGGACTGGGATGACAGCGGGTGAGGGAGTTGTGATTGGCTGTACCACAACATACCAAACACACACACGCCTCTCTCTCATTGGCTCACCATCAACAGGCCACCGTATATCACACTAAGTTTAACAAAGAATTAATACATACATACACACACACATGTACACACGCTGCTACACATACCTCAAATCAAGCAAACACCGAATAACTACTCGTGTACATAATTTAAGCTGATATCAAAAGATGCTCAGTGAGTCAAGACAATATTAAATTTAACAAAGGATTAATCAGACTATAATATGTAGGAAACATTTTACTAGATACAAAATCATTGAGAAAAATGTGTATGATAATAAAACTGTTGGACTATTGGATCATCTTCTGCTTTAAGCTAATAAATGTCGCTACACAGCCACTGAAAAAGTACACAAGAATGGGCGGTCGATTTACATTCTTTAATATTATTGAATCACTATAGTTACAAAGTTAATGGTAATATACATGGTAGGTTGAAGGCTGCAACGCAAGACAGGATAAATAAATTAATTTAATAAATCTTTTAAGACCGCCGCCACACTAAATAAAATAATAATAATAATATCCCTTTCAACCGCATATACTAGCCACCCCCCGTCTACCTTTTCTAAAATAGCGAAAAACGTAAAAAAATACAATAAAATATATGCTAATGTAAAAATTCAGTCAATTTTTTAGTCTCTTCATGTGTATGTTTCAGGAACCAACAAATCTTCATCCCATCATGATTAGTGGAAAATTCATCGGTATTTTTGTGAGATTTGGCTCTTCACTTCTTTTACTATTAGTTTACTACTACATTTTACTATTACTACTACTCCTACTTACTGCGACTACTATTGCTATTAATACTAATACTTACAACTACTATTACTATTTAATATTACTACCTCTATTTCTATTACTACTTCTACTACCTTTACTACTTACTAATACTACTTACTACTACTACTACAATTAACTACATACGCTTACTACAACATCTCCTACTTCTACTACTACAGTACAACTACTATTACTACCTCTAATACCACTTTTTTTTATAATGGCCTCCTGCCTCCCCCAATAGCCACACCTTCGCCACCATTTTATTACCTTAATATTAAATATCCGAATACATTGGTAGCTATCCTATCTGTGTTGAGTTAGTTGAGCCGCAGATCTATGCGGCATTCAGTGACTGTAGCCTCATAGTCAATATCTGTAACTGTTGTCGGCTTTGGGGCTGATGTTCTCGTTCCCCTGAGGCAGAGCAAAGCCGACCACTACTACCTACTGTTGGGAAATCCTGTATGATCTGTATATTACATTGGAGTCTCATCACAAATAATTGCTTTAAATATTAGCCAGCTCCACCGGTTGTAGTACAGTCGAGAAAAAAATTAATCATAGATGGCATTACTGGAGAGGTTTGGCAAGAATTGTTGACAGATGTGAGGTAAATTTATTCATTCAAAGGTTAGAATTTCATATGTGTGGTTTATGGTGATAAGTATACAAATTAGGTGTAGTTTATTATGAATACGTGTGAGAGAATGCTTACGGAGACAGAACTATAAAGTGTTTGAAAAGCAAATTGTATGATGACTAACTTACCATTGTGTAGTAGTAGTTTGCCTTGCTATAGTATTGGATGAGTGTGTTGTTGATATTTGTTAGTATTATTGATTATTACATTATTTAAGATATAATACAGCCACTCAAAATATTATCTCTACGACAATGTGTTGAAAAAATATAACACAACGGACGAAGGATTTGGACAACCTTACCGAGACAACAAGAGTCGCAGTGTTCATTATGAAATTCATGGATCACCCCGAGTAGAGAGGGTTTATTGTTAAATGACTGTAGATCTAGTGTTGCTACAATTTATGTGAGGCGATTATTCACTTAAAAAGATTTCTATTTAAAAGCTGTACAAACAAAACACCAGCGTGTACTCCATTATTGGCAGAACCTGGGCACAGTAATTTTGGAGATTTTGGCCCCAAAGACTGCAAGAAAAGTCAAGAAATCCTTGTGGGTGTTTGTCTGCCAGTACGAGTAACAAAGTAGTGGAGAAAGAAAATAAGAAGTAAATAGGGAAATGGAAAATAGAGATTCTAAATTGGAAAAAGATGACAATAAGAAGAGTAAAACACAAATTAAAGAGTTAAGTTGAGACGACTATTGCTGGGTTGCTTCACCAGTACTGCCAGTATGGTCTTGTTCACACATACCAGTTGGTGGGTTCATTTAGTTCCTTCACGGGGTTATGTCATCACAATGAATCCAATAATTAGCTTAATACATTTTAATTGAAACAAAAATTATACACAAAACTGATTCAAACATATTAAACTGCAGTCTCTCTCTATATGAAGTGGAAACGTACATACATGTGTGTGTGTGTGTGTGTGTGTGTGTGTGTGTTCTGGGTACAGTATAGTACAAATTAGTTTCCCTCATATAAAATTGCTGTAACACATTAACCTTCCAAGACGTTTTAGTTTAAGCTCATCGTGGTCCAATATACAGTACAGGGGGTCCTCGTTATAAGAGTATTCACTATCCACGGTTTCGCAGTTAAGTGGTCAACTTTTTGTGAGAATCCATGTAAAAAGTACCCACATTTAAATGGATTCCACTCAAAACTTTGAAAACTGGAGAAAATCTACAGATTTTTAGCTGAGGCATTTGAAATTCCATCCCCTTCCTGGGGTCAAGCTTGCACACATGTGTCCCGCGCCAGTCTCCCACTTTGTTTTATCCAGACCAGTTCTGTGTTGTGTTTACCCCTGTCTTTGTTGTGTCTTTTCTTGCATGTTGTGGTGAATTATTTTATAGTTTTTGTAGCCATGAGTTCTCAACCCAAACAGGACAGTATAGCACTCAAAGGAAGCACACTACAGAAGAACAGAAGAATGGAGGAAACTGCAGCGGGCCTATTGGCCCATACTGGGCAGTCCCATTTATACCCAACCCCCGTCGCTCAAATATCCATCCAACCTATGTTTGAAGCTATCCAGCGTATTCGAGTTAATGATGAGGTTTGGTAACTTGTTCCACTCGTCCACTACTCTATTTCCAAACCAATGATTTCCTATGTCACTCTTAAATCTAAATTTTTCCTATTCAAAACCAATGCTACGAGTTCGCTCCTGGTTGGATAGTTTAAGTACCTATGTTATATCACCTATGTTAAACCCCGATTTCCATTTATACACCTCGATCATATCGCCCCTCACTGTACGTCTCTCGAGGGAGTGCAAATTAAGATGATTTAACCTGTCTCTGTACTCAAGGTTCCTAATGCCCAGGATTAGTCTTGTCATTCTCCTCTGAATTCTTTCTAGAGATACTATATCCATTCTGTTGTACGGTGAGATCTGACAAGTGCAAGTTATAATTTTAGAATAACCTTGCTAGTCTTGTAACTAACACTATAGTATAGATGTAAAATTAGAAGTGATTAGGCAAAAGAAGAGTGGGAGTGGATAATCCACCTAGTCCTGTTTCTTTTTCATCCTCCGACTAGTCCTCCATCGTCCAACACCCTCCTCCATCAATCCAATCAAGCCAAACATCTCTACCTTTGAAGCTAAGTAAATAAATATATTTTATTATGGTAAATTATTTATTTTTAAAACCTTATAACAAGTATTTTGTCTCAATAAACCACTGGAGTGAGTGTGCACCAGCAAGGGTTGCTGCGGACCACCGCTGGCACGGCCTACGTTGCCTCAACACACGAACCCAATGAACTTTAAGGACGTTAGTTATCTTATAAGGTTAAATAATTTCTGAAAATAATGTGTTATTAAATGTTTAACAAATGTTTCGTAGGTAAATAATGTTAAAAAATATCATATAAACTTTTTTGAGTGTTTTGTACAATGTCATGGTCCCAATTTTACCTATTTCCTTTATTTCTTATGGGATTAATTCCCCGCTTCAAGTGGATTCATTATCAGAAGCGTTTTTCCAGTCCCAATTATCCGCGAATAACGAGGACCCCTGTAGTATATTAAGCTGAGATAAGTTTGCGTTGTAATTCACTTAGCCAGATACAGTAATTAAAATCGCAAGTTACATGTATCATGGCAGCGGTTAAGAGGGTAATGCATATCAAACTCTTAAGACTAAACATCCACGTACAAAATGTGTTGGAAAGATACTGTTAAAAGTAATCTCATTTACATATCACAATAAACTGTGTCTCTCTGTCTGAGGACATGTTGTGGTGGACCCTGGTGGTGGCTGTCATGATGATGAAACTCCAGCTGGTACAGTTCCCAGGTTCACTACCTCCCCACAGCTTCCCGCCCACACCTCTATGGATTTACCGTCGTTGATGTCTTCATCGCCGTAATATTTGTTGAGCCTTTGTTACCTGTGCTATTATCATCATCATCATCTGAGTCAGAGGGCATCACAGGGTCCCCCCAATAGTCGAACACTCTGAGTGAAGGCATCTGGGACACAACACCTTGCAGGATCTTGTCATCCACGGTGTTACATTGTTCAAGATCAAGTATAAGAAGCTCCGGGAGAGCGGTAGGAATGTTGAGGAAGGCTATGCCAGTGATCTGCACCACACCGACTAGGTCGAGAATACGGATGCGGGGGCAGCAAGCCACCACAGCGCTAATGCCCACGTCCGTCACCTCCCAGCACCAGTGTAAAACTAAATGAACCAACTTGGGGCAGTTGAAGGACAAGGCCTTCAGCACCTTGTCGTCCATGAGGCAACACTCCCCGAGATTCAAATAAGCTAATTGCTGTAAACCTCCACTCTGGAACAAACGTGTCAAGCCATTTGGAGTCAATTGACTGCCTTTTCGGAGTTTCAGCCAAGTAAGATGTTTCAGTCCATGGATCCCAGAGAGACCAGCGTCAGTCATCTCCTCACAAAATGAAACCCCGAGCTTTTCTAGCAGCGTACACTTTTGAAGTGTCTTGTACAAGGCGTCGGTCAGGTGCTCACCGTCTAGGAATAAACATTTGAGGCGGTGGCTGAGCTCTCGAGTCAAACACATCACAGAAGAATCGTAAATATTTGTGATACCATCAATATCAAGATATTCAAGGTATTTGCACTGTTTAGCAATAGCTATTAACCCTAAATTATCTAAAAACTGACAATGAGACAAGTTCAAATATCGTAGTTGGCGGAACTCCGCCATCAGAAAATAACATTCACTGTTGCACACACGAGAGCCTTCCACATTCAAGTAACGCAAGTCGGAACAATTCTCTACTAAAGATTTAAAAACGGTGTCGGTCAGACCATCACAAAATTTGACAGTAAGTTCCCTGAGTTTAGTACAGGAAGCGGCCGCCTGAAGTAACAGGTCTCCGCCATCCTCGCGGCTTTGCATCTCCAGGGAGAGCAAATGTGGCGACCCCTTCAACAGACGCCTCACTTGATCACCGTCTACTCGGTGCTGGTAGGAAAACACGAGATGCGTCCACAGCGTAGGGTCTTTAGCCAAGTCCCTCCAGGCGGTACACACGAGAGACACATTGATGCATAGATCATACTTATTCAAGAATGAGAAGATGTATAACAAAATCTCACAAGGCAGTCGACTGATGTAACATTCACCATGGGAGGAAGTGGCACTTATGCTTGTTGAGTCAAGAGTATCCTGCCGGCACTTAACTTTGTCACCGTGTGGGTTTAAACAGCCACCACAACACCGTGACTTACAGTCACCTTCTAACCCACTCGAGGAACTCTGTTGAGTTGATCCTTTACAGTCTGTGTCCACTGTCTCCGGGTCTTCTATTACTATATTTGACACATCCAGTTTATTTGCCTCCCCAATTTGTCCTGTTAACACCTGATGAGAGTTTAACGAAGTTGTTGATCTGCAGACCTCAAACTCCTCTTCACTGTCGGTATCAGCAGCGTCAGCCATGTCCGCCGTGTTCTATTTACTTTCCTTCGAGCAATATATTAAAATTAGAACCAAGTATTACCCTCAAAGATAAGTAACTCATGTTAGCTATTCACATGTACGTTATTGAAACTACGAGGTGGATCAAGGTATATCTTCAGTGTGGGCGAGAGGTGTGTGTGGTGTGGGAAGCATCACTTGGTGTAGTCACCACCTTCAGAAGGCCGTGGACACTTGGCTCTACAGCAGCAGCCAGACGGGATGTATTCCTTCCATGTCTCACACGCCCTTAAAAGAAATAAACACATATTCAACAATACGAAAATGAGGAGGAAAACTAGTATAAGTGTGAAATCTTTCCTTCAACTGAGTCAGTAACGTAGTTTTATATTCTAATGAAACTCAAAACACAAGATCTCACATTATTGTACTAAGATTTAGAATTTTTGTTCATTGCTGATGAAAATTCAACAGCTGGCCCACACAAATGTATCATTTCCTTAATAAATAAAACAAATGCCACTGATCATCGTTTTATATCATCAGCCACTAACACTATTATTTAGACACGTGTTCTCTTGTTGGCAGGTCACTAGTAACCCCCAACATCCCATGTGATTTTAAAATTTCTCCGTTTATTTTGTCAGAAAATGTATAAAATTGGCCTACTTCTTTTCATCTTTTAATATATCAGTATTTTTATCATAAATCAAAGATTGTGATGTTTGATTAATGACTGACAAAACTTTACATCACAATAAATGACGTCCACGCATTTTAGCATCGTGATTTATGGAGGGGGTTCGTACGAATTGCTTGTGGGCCAGATCAAGCCTGTGGACATCTGGTTGAGTATCCCTGTCCTTGAGTATAGAAACCTTCATTATACTCAACTCCACTTTCAAGTTAACGGCTAAACTGCCTGTGTCTAAAATGCATTATGAAGAAAATACCCTTAATTTGCTTAACGATGTCAGTATCCCACATCATTAACTTTATCATAACGTACTGGGTCCACCTTGCCCAAATAGTCAGGTTAGGTTAAGTGAGATTAAATTAGGTTAACTTTCAAATTGTGTGCGTGTGTAAGAATTTCCTACTCTCATACAATGCATTTAATTGGGTTTAATAACGGCGCTTCTTGTATTAGAGCGTAAAAAATAATGTCAGTAATGTTTCTTCATGTAGTGCCCGGCCAATGACACACACACACACACACACACAAACACACACACACACACACACACACACACACACACACACACAAATAATAAGAAAGAACCAAATTCATCTGTGATTTCAATACACATTTTCTGGTAAACATTTATCCATACACAGACACCAAGCTACACCAGCAGACACTACCGAGCAAAACTGTCAACAAGTGCAGCTCTCGACTACTAATTTAATATCATAAGTCAGTATGATAATTAATACCAATATTTAGTAAGTACGAGGTAAGTTATTTTTTTATGACTACTGTATAAACTTCGGTAATATCTGATAAATACATATAATCTTCCCGATATTAAACATTTATTATGAAGAAATGAGTAAATCTATTAATTTATTTTTTTGGGACTATCATAAATATAGTTTTTATTCCATTAATGACAGTAACTTTGGAAAATTGAAAGATACACAAAGTTGTATAATAATGCTACATAATTCATGGAGGGGAAACAGGTACAGTATTGGTTTGAAATACAGTAGTTCTTCATCACTATATTTTCTTTTTCGCTGTATCATTGTTAGGTGTCTCATAACAAGTGTTTAAAACCATCGGGATGATCATTCGTATCACCGCCATACATAATACATTTTAAATAATAGTAAACAATGGTAACACTTCAGTTTTTTTAATGGATAAATAAACCGAAAGTAAAAAAAATATTTATTGTAAAATATCAGAATCATTACACTTACAACAATGACTAGAAGATCCGTTTAAAAAAATTTTGGTGTGGAAACATAAATTTACTGGAAACTATATATTATAAATGCTAACACTAGATAGCTACTAGGATTCTCGTGGGGGGGGGGGATAGCCTTCAGGATCTGGTAGGAAGGATTTGCACTTTTATTAGTATTATATTTTGTAACCGCATTATATAACACTTCATAAATATCTTACATTACAAAATAAACATTACTGGGTACAATGCTATTAATACTAAGACTCTGTATATTGTGGAAACTTTTTAAATATTAGGAATGTTTGTTAAGAGTCCGGAAAATGTCACAGGAAAAAAGTTATAATTTGGGTTAGGAAAAGTCATAGGATATAGACAATTATTTTAAATACGTTATGTTCGGTAATGTTGTTAGGTTAGGTTAGGTTAGGTTAGGTTAGGCTAAAGGTAGGGTAGGTTAAGTAAGGATAGGCTAGGTTAGATAAGGTCAGGATTAAGGTCAGCTTTGGTTAAATTAAGTAAGGTTAGGTTTGGAACTTTTCTCCTGCTAGTTTTTTGTACACTCTTAAGTTATAATACTATGGGAAGTACAGGAGCGTACAATAAAGATCATTACGTGTCGGAGTAAGGCGGACACTACAAGGCACAAACACAGTGTAAGTTGTCAGCGCTAATACCAAGTTGTAATTGGCCGTGTGGCGCGACACCAGTTTCCTACTCTGATCTTTCTGTGACACCTGAACTGCCTAATGGGTGGTATTCAGCAGTGACTTAAGTGATTAAATAATGTCTACTGTACAGTACATAGTTTTACCTAATTCAGTTTAAGTTTAGTGGAACTAAGTTTACCCTGTAGTGTAATTAAGTTTGGTATAATACAATACTGTACATATCTCTTCTTTAATGTGAAGTCCATCAGACTAGCTAAAGTGCAGTGCCTCTCTCCACCCACCAAGGCTCCAGCAATCATATGAGTTTGGTAAATTTTTTGACAACATTTTTGACATTAGAAGTACCAATAGAAGCTGTTACCTTAAGTCGGACTTTTGGTTGGGCCGGACTGGCTTAATCTGTATATAGTCCGACTTAGGGAAAATTTTCAGTACAACATTCACAAACAATGTTCAGGCCCAAATCGGCCACCAAAATCACATCCCCAGCAAGAAATAATACTCCTATATTTCACTGCTTTGGGGGGAAACAGTGAACAGTGAGATCCATCTGACAGTTTTAAGGGTATGTGAGTTGGTTCACCTGATGATTAGCGCCCAGTTTATTTCACTTTAGGATTAACCTCCCTGATGCTAACCTAAGCTAATCTAACCAAATTTAATCTAACATAAATATTATCTTAACCAAACCTAACCCTAAACTAACCTAATACCTCTAGACAGCATTATGTTGTTTTATCATCAAGTAAACAAAGCTGGGGGTTAATCCTGAGGTGATCCATGAAATATTACAGATCTCATAATGATCCGAACAACAAAAAACACATACGATAGGTAAAGTGGGAGTAAACAAATATATCTAATAATATATACAACAATTTCACGTGGCACAATATTAGGGATTTAAAAGTTCTGGCCAACACATTGTTAATCATCGTTTGTATTTGTGTTGACAAGTTACGGTGTTACTCTTGTTTCCTCTTGTCACAGCTACCTCTTGTGTTGTCATCCTCTGATAAGTCCTCACCATCTGAACGGACGTCCTCCAGAGACCCAACGCAGAGTTTCTTCATCAACACACCCCCTATCAGTACAGTCCATATAATATTCAACACCAATAAGCCTATTAGCAGACCCTTAAATAGGTAAGCTGCTGGCATCTGGATATAGGGAGTAGCATCGACAAATACACTGTACATGATCCAGAATGGGTACAAGTAATTACGAGTTATCAACCAGCTGATCAAAAACACAGCAAAAATGACATCTGTTAGTCTTTGTATACCAGCATACAAGAGCATCTTAGCAAATAATAAGGGAATGTCTACACACTCGTGGACGAAGAAAACGAGAGTCCCCACACGCACAAAGTTACACGTCCAAGAGAAGACCATGAGTAGTATAGTGAACATGTGGTGCAACATCATGTGTATTTTGTCTGCCACACTCCGGGCTGGTGTGTTGATCTGCATGAAGGAGCCGGCCGGTAATGTAGTACCACCACACGTCATCATCAATGCTGTGGTGAGGATGATTCTCCCAGCAAAGGTTAATATTCCATAACCAAGGTTTATAAAACATGATCGAGCAACCAAATATAAAGAGCAAAATATGACACAGTAAATTATACCCGCAGTCAATAAATTTGTCATGTTTTGTGGTGTGAGTAATCGCCTGCCGACGACGTAACCATCTCAACTTGTCTCACTGTCATGTGTCGAGGTGTCTGCAGCCTCCACAAGTTGTTTCGTTGAGGGTTTTAGTCCATACAGGCGATAAAAAGTCTCTAATGTTTTGCTGGGTGGAGGTGGATGAGGCCGTTTATTGGGTACGGCTGCAGCAAGTGCCAGAGGCTCCAGCACGAAGGGTTCGAGGAGGAAGAAGCGAAACAAGATGAAGCCAACACTGAGCAGCAGCGGGTAGACCCACACGTCGTGGAAGTTGGGGTACTGAAACTTGTTGCTGGGCTCTATGTTTTCCCACTGACGCCCAGACGGTAGCCAGAAGTCAGAACTCCAGAATAATGCAGAGAACTGATGCCACCAAATGCCAACCTAAAAAAATCGTTATATATTAGTCTTGGAGCTTCATATCTGTACAGTATATCCAAAATTCCATGAATTATATATATATATATATATATATATATATATATATATATATATATATATATATATATATATATATATATATATGAAACGGCATCATTCATAATGTAAATAAAGTTCATTGTACAGGACATTCTGTAGTCCAACAAAAATAGCAGCTATACAGTAGGTGGTTGTTTAGGAGAATTCATACATATCCAATATATATACATCTATGTACGTAGGTATGAGCGTATAATTATTTACAGATGTAGACGTCTTAACACTGCAGCACCGGAGTTTAACAAGCGTGTCATCCCGTCTTCAAGAGATACAAACAGCACCAAGAAAAGTGGACTCAAACTGATATGTAGTTTGATGATCTCACTAGGTCGCTAAGGTGCATACAAAATAACTCAAAGATAACACGGTGAGATAAGTGGTATTCGTCAGGTGAGAAACAAACCAGGAAATACTTCTACTTTTTTATATAATAACTCGAACAATCATCTATTTTCTACCAGGTGACTCGCTCTGTAGCACGAATCAGTAGCTGTGGATTCGGACTTACCTAGACTCTTATTTACAATTGTTATTAGTTTAAAATATTGGGCCTCGGGTGATATAAAGATATTTGTGAATAATTATCATGAATTCAGTCCTTCTTAAGTATAAAAAATGTAGTGCTGGGATTTACGATATGAATAAATGTCTTGTAATTTCATTCTCATTCGCCATTAACAGAACCATAATTAAAATCACCATGTGCTAAGTTGTGTTAAGTTACAGTAAGTTAACTGATGTTTTCTTAATTTATTCTTTAAAAAATATTAAATCTATAATTGGCTCATAGTTAACAAGAATGAGTCACCTGGTAAATTATGAAGTGGTTTATCATGAAATAGTCATTTTATCTGGAAGAACATGTCCAACTACTCAATGGTCTTAGGTAAGCAATATTACTTCGGGTACACACACACACACACACACACACACACACACACACACACAAAGGCGTTGCTTTAAAAATTACGCCAGAGAATATGATTACCATTTAAGGTAGGACAGTCACTCGCTGCGACGCAACTAGTCGAAGGGAACCATAATTCTCCACATGAACGACAAATCTTGCAGCTATCAAACTGGTCTGAGAACTTATTTTGAGAATTCCGAAGGTGGCCTCCCGAGACATAAAGAGTAATACTGAAATGTTTAACTCTTGAGGTAATAGCCATTCACTCTACAGCCAGGAACAAGCACCAAACTATCGTGAACCACCCAATGAATATTTGTAAATTCCGTCAAACTATTAGTAAACGTATCTCGTCATCGTCTTCAGTCGGCTAAGTGTTAATATCACCAACACTCACATGATGTTTGTCTTAAAAATTCTTATTCTTCTAGGCCACAACACTGCCATTGTTACGGTATTTTTAGTGTCCAGTTAATGTGTGAAGCAAGCCAGCGACTTTGTTGACCTACATACACACGCAAAGGGCACACATTCATTCTTAAGTCAACTCGATCAGTGTGCAGAGAGACTATAACAGTAAGAAGATGGATAAGAGTGAACAAGATTGAGGAAGACTTACCACAGTATTGTTGCTGATGTAGTGTAGAGTGGAAGGGCTGAGGAACACGTCCACGTACTGCTTCATCATGGCCATCTTGCCCTCAACCCACGGATCAGGTATGTAGCAGTTCTTCTTCAACTTCAAATAAAATTCTTCACACCGTCACAAAATTTCTCCAACTACCGTTATGACAGGACGGAACAAAAGCGTGTGAGGGTAAACGCGCGTACTGTCAGGCTTGATAGCACCTCTCTTACTAACGCACCCGGGCCAAACCAATACCCTTATCAATCTTCCACGTAACTCATAACTCTGCGGGCGAATGGTGTTGACTCTACCTTAATCAAAACACACCATCCCCTAACCACAGGCAATACACAGTACTATGACAAGACAGGAACCTTCCGCTCTTATTTTTTGTCAAACAGCAGAATTAATCAAAAAATGTGTGTGGGGGGGTTGTGTGTGGGGGGGTGTGGGGGGGTGTGTGGGGAGAGTAAACATTCTTATGTTTACCACTCCAGTTAGTTTGGGGATCGCTAGATTAGGCTCTCAGCTAATTTCATCTTAAGAGTAACTTTCCCAACGTTACCTAAGGGGTTGGGTTGAGTTAGGTTACGGTCTTTATTCTGAAGATGAAATAAGTTTGGAGATATTCTTCAGGTGATCCTTCAAAAAATAAACTTTATTTCCTCATCTATCTTATCAATTAGTCAAACATTAACACAAAGCTGCCATCGTCGAATTAAGTATCTAATAATAAAGTTAATTTTTTGGTATCACTTCAAGATTAACCACTCTAACGTTAACCTAACCAAAGTCTAACCTAACGCCATCCTAATTCTAACTTAACCTAACATCAAACTAACATTTAGCCCCCCAGGTAGCGTTAGGGTCTATATTCATCAAGTGAAATAAATTGGGAAATAATCTATAAAAAATAGGTTATTAATATTTAAATGCCATATACTCCATGAACGTGAAGTATTATATTCTGTTTCATGTTCGTAATACCTGTAATATTGTTTGTACTTACAGGTGTGCATAGACTTCATATGAACAGAGGAAGTGGTTGTGTCGCAAGAGATGTAAACACAACGATTACAACACCTTGAAGTCTCTATAGGAACCAGGAAATAATAATACTGCCGGGTCACAACACTCAGAGAGGGAATGATAGGAAAGGGTGAGAGATGAGAATCACCAACCCCAACCCAACCCAACCAACCAACCCTAACCTAACCTAAACTAATCTAACCCAACCTGGTCTGTGATTCTTGGTGCCATCCGCTCACTCTTCGATGTCACCAGTCCTCGCTAACTAGGATCACCAACCCAGGTAGTTAAGCCAGGGTCAGCAAGTCTCTCCCATCTCTCATATATTCAGTATATCCCACCCAGGCGGTTAAGTCTCCAAACAACTTTTTTTAATACATCCTTCAACTGTTCCGCGCGGTAATGGAATTTTAACCCTCCTCCTGGTCCTTCCCTTTATTTGAACCTCACAACTTAACCTCACAGTTTAATTTCATTATACCTGTCTGCTGTAGTTTGTGAACAAGTCATGCTCTTCATGTAAACTTTGGGCAAAACCTCGACCATGACGAAATGTGCCTTTGCATGAAGAGAAATGATGTTTATATGCGGGTTTTTTAGTATGCTACAACAAGACTATGGATTTGTCTCAGAATACGAGGCACCACGCCATCACCACAACACTTGACCCACACCACACTCCAGGATAAAGCCTAACACTATACACTTAGCTTGACAATTTCGTAACAATGAAACTAAGTGGTAGATTTATACTGTGTAACCATCTAAGTTACTGTTTCAGCCTTACATTGTCCACTGCAGGAGACATTATTCACTTCACGTTAAATGAATGGAAAGCATCCATACTACATCAATATTAATCGATGAGAGCATTATGTAAACGACGAACCATCAACGTTACCGGACCATGTAATGAGTAAAATTATATCAAGTTTCTTTAAAGCATTGTGGTCCCAGGCTACTGTGTGAGCCTCACGTCTCAACCAAGTAAGTTACAGGCTTCGGATTCACATTCCAATACTTTCGAGGTTCACACATCACGGAAAGAGTGGATTGACAATGCTGAGTGTACTAGTCGGAAATGTCCCCGACTGTACATAACCTCATCTGTGGGAGAAGCTACTACACCATCCTCTCCACAGCCTTTTGCCTCCACCTGAGATCCCTCATCCTCAAATTACTGTTCGACAACCAGCCCATACAATCCTATACTGATCGCTTTAGGAACAGCCCAATTCTAACCATTGTCAAAATTATCAACAACACGTAGGTAACTTATGTGTTCCCTCCCCGCCATTCTCACTTTTGTACTGTAACTGTGCTGAAATTCCTTGTTATATATTATACATGTACCGCTTGTGTCACCTGATTGATAAATAATATTTATCAATCAGGTGATCCACTCCGTAATTATGTAACTTTCATCATGTTTATTATATATTTTCTGCCTTTTGACGGGCCAATTTTTGTATTGTTATTATTCACACACACACACACACACACACACACACACACACACACACACACACACACACACACACCACCCACTTGTACTTCAACCTTTGTCTCGGCTCTCTTACACAAAGTTTACAACAGTAGACGATGATCAAAATGATACTATCAATATAACATAGACAACAAGCTACTGCTGTGTCTTGCCCATCACAACAAGATGAAGTATTTATGTCAAGTAAAGGAATAGAAATAAAAATTCAGATGCAGCGGAGCAATAATTTAATGAAACATGAATGATATAAAAAAAAAAATGACTAGAACACTGGCAACCTTACATCATCAGGAACCACAAATGACTTTACTACAATTTATTTTATCATTATTCTTTTGCATCTATAAACAGACAAATCTTTTATTTTAATTATAGAATTTTATCCAAACATATATATACAATGTAAATATTTCTCTGCCTAGAAGTGTTAATATTCCAGATATATTTTGACAATTTCAGTAACATTTAACGATTTACTGAAAGATTAGCCATCCAGGTTTATTGTATCTGATGAATAAATACCCTAATTGCTATCTGGGGGTTAGGTTAGCATTAGAGTGATCATCATAAGTGTAATAAGCAGGAGGGCTAATCTTCAGGTCATCTCACTTAACAATAAAAACATTACTAAGTTCTTCTGCGCTTGTCACTTGTGATTTTCAACTTAATAGTTAATAAGGTTCAAGCCACTTCGGTAATCTAACAACCGTGAGATTTTGGATGTCTTCGTTCACCTCTCAGACGGCATCACTACAGTACAGGGTGTCTCATGAGTCGCGTGCACATGTACAGGGTGTATCATAGATTGCTCTCACATATACAGTGTGTCTCATTGGTTAAACACCCTAACGCTTAACTGGTGGGTTAGGTTAGGTCAAATTAGGTTAGTTTAGGCCAGGATAGGTCAAGGTCAAGCTAGGTTAGTTTAGGTCAGGTTTGGTCGAGTTAAATTACATTCGTTAAGGTTTGGTCAACTTAGGATAGATTAGGTTAGGTCAGTTTAGGTCAGGTTCGGTCAAGTTTAGGTTAGGGTCGGTCAAGGTTAGGTTAAATCGTGAGGCTAGGTTTGCTTGGGTCAAGTTTAAATTTAGGTTAGGTCTGCATTGGGGTGATTAATCTTAAGATGATCCACAGACGTATTTAAGACCTTCCCTTGTCTTTAGTTATAATATAATCCCATTAATAACAACTAACATCTGTCTCAATTACAGGGAGATGACACTCAGTATCAGTCAGGTCAGTAAAACATACATACATACACACCAAAACGCACCACTATCACCATATGTTGCATGGCTATGGGGTCAATATGAGTCACGGAACACGATGTAAACAGTGAAGTCAATCTCGAGGTAAACAGTGAAGTCAATCTCGAGGTAAACAGTAAAGTCAATCTCGATGTAAACAGTGAAGTCAATCTCGAGGTAAACAGTAAAGTCAATCTCGAGGTAAACAGTAAAGTCAATCCCGAGGTAAACAGTGAAGTCAATCCCGAGGCAAACAGTACATCACAGACTTCATTCTCAAATATGTAAACACCACAAGTGCTTTAACTACACCCTATTAACTAGCTAAACTACCACTAACTATCTTTACTTCTGACAAAAAGTTTGAGCAAGAAAGAGTTTTCAAAAAAGTGAAAAAGGAATAATGATAAAGTGTAAAAAAAAAATATTTATTATCAAGCCATCAGCGGGAAGTGTGACGTCAACAAGCGCTTGTGTTTACTAGTGGATGCGTGCCCTTCACATCACCTGCCCACACCTTCCTTCCATCACCTGCCCACGCCTTCCCTCCATCACCTGCCCACACCTTCCCTCCATCACCATCCCACACCTTCCCTCCATCACCTGCCCACACCTTCCCTCCATCACCTGCCCACACCTTCCCTCCATCACCTGCCCACACCTTCCCTCCATCACCATCCCACACCTCACTTCAACATCTCATCTTTCCACTGTGTTTTGCGTTTCATTCATTCGTTGATAATACACCAAATAACATTTTTTTCTGAAGTCAATTAACTCGAAGAAAAACTTATAACACACTATAACTACATCATTATAAAGTAAACATCAAAGAACCTCACAGAAACACATAGGATAGGTTAGGATAGGATAGGTTAGGATAGGATGGATTAGGTTAGGTAAGGATAAAGGAGTATTCCTGATATCACCTGCCCCCCCACTACGTATCAGGAGGAACTGATATGGCAGGACGCACCAATTTTATACACAAGGTGGACTACTGGTCAGTGTAGACGACGATCACTATATAAACCAGTGACCATCGACCTTATAAAAGTCTATTACCCATCTAGTACAGGGTGATCCAGAGGCCCGAGTGCCATAGAAGGTATTGTTATTCTTAAAGCTAATTAAACACATTACTTTAAGGATGGTTTGTATAAGAAGGTACAAATATTACTCTCTCTCTCTTTCTCCTTTCGTTCTCATACTCTCTCTCTCTCTCTCCTTTATTTTCTTTCTCTCTCTCTCTTTTCTCTGTCTCTCTCTCGACAATAGACTTCTGGGACACCCTCTATGTTGGATTGCATTACTAATACACAATTATCATCAAGAATGGCACTAAAATCTCCTATAAGAGTCTCTACTTCAACAGGCATATATACTATTTCAAAAGTGATCTACCTTCTTATAGCTTTCCAAGATTCATTTTATTTTATTATTATTTTGGAATGTAAGGCGAAGTGAAGTTAAACTCCTCGAATAGGGTGAAAATTCATCTTTAAACGTAGTGATGGTGAGAGAGGGTGGGTGGGTGGGTGTGTGTGTGTGTGTACTGGCCTGGAGCACCACCACCACCCTTACTCACTACACCACTACACATAACAATAATTATTCCTCTTAAAACAGAGTAAAGGTCAAATTTGCCCTCACCACTTCTTCTATCCACACTTCTATTCAGTTTTATTTCACACTCTTGACTGACTTTAATCACTTTCTCTTCCTCTCCTTCCTTACGTAAAATCACTATGTCATTCTTCCATTTTCCATAAACATTCTCTTCACGCATTCTCATTCCAGGAATCATTCAATTTTACCTTCTTTCTTTTACGTGGAAAAGTCACTATACTCTCACCTGGTCTCATTCATATACCTTGTTCTGAATCACTTGGGTATCAGCCCCAATAGATTATTTCATCAGATAATTAAACACCCAATTGCTACCTGGGGTTGGGTTGGGTTGGGTTGGGTTGGGTTGGGTTGGGTTGGATTAGCGTGAGGGTGTTTAATCATCAGGTGAAATAAGCTAAAGGAGCTAATCTTGAGGTGATCCATCTGTTGTATCCAAGGCACCAACAACTCTCAAAGCTCCCCCACTTTCACTCACTGGCCAACTCTCTGAAGGCTGCTCCACTCTCGGCCAAGTCCACTCCCATTCACACCGTTCACATCGTCCCACATTTTACACAACTTAAAAAAACAGAACTTTTCCATCTTTTCTATTTAAATCTAACCAAACAAATAACTCTGTCCACTTTTCACACCTTTATATACCGTCTATATACTGTAGATATATATAAAGTTTCATAAATACTTTTCAAAATGATGTTTACGTTGTTAGTATAAAAGTTATACGTTGTTAACTACACAAACCCGTATAGTTTAGCTGTTGTGGTTAACTTCCCATCTCGTCTACCCGCGTTATTTTGGACTGATAATGGCTACTTTATGTATTTATGTCTTCTCTAACCTAACCTAACCTCATGTTATGTCTATTCAGTAAACAAAACATTAATTTATTTTAAAGGAATAAATAGCACAGAGTATATGGTTTGGTTAGGTTAGGTTAAGTTTGGGTTAAATTAGATTACATTACGTTAAGGAATCACAAGACAATCTTCAGATAATATGAATCAATGATCATTAAGTCATAAGAGATTTGGGGTATAAATACAGTATGTTATATTTTCAGAGTAAACAAAAATTGAAAAATAATCTATAAATAAATAAATGAGAAGCCTGCAGGTGTAGACGAAATGGGAGAACACCGCCGTTGAGGACCATTGGCGCCAGCGAGTCCCAAGTGTTACTGCAGAAGAAACATGAGTGACAAGTTTGTTACATGATGTTCATGCGTCACAGTCTGGCTCTGCTTCCTCTTGGCCTCATGACAGCAAACAAGTCACGGATCACATGACAGCAAACAAGTCACGGATCACATGACGGCAAACAAGTCACGGATCACATGACAGCAAACAAGTCACGGATCACATGACTGCAAACAAGTCACGGATCACATGACTGCAAACAAGTCACGGATCACATGACTGCAAACAAGTCACGGATCACATGACTAACCTCTAGCTTATTTCACCTTAATATTAACCACCCTAACGCTAATCTAACTTTACCTAACCAAGTAGCGTTAAGGTGTTTAATCGTTGTGAAATAAGGTAAAGGTGAATCTTCAGGTGATTCCATGTTACCTCATCTATAAGTTATAGTAGTTTGTGGATGTTTTTTTAAGCATATACCAGCTAAGACACTAAGAGTTAGAATACTCACTCTCGTCTCCTAAGTTACAGCAAAATATAAAAACGACTTGGTGATGTTTTAAGAGTTGAGACATCTAATGAGGTTGTCCAGTTAGGGGTGATTAACGTCACTAACTCTTCCTTTCATTATCTTGCCAATTTCTCACAACATTCATACAGTATTTCATTTCATTCATCACTTTATACATAATGATTCTTCGTTATCAATCGGACTTGCTGATATTATTGACTTCCGCGTCAGAACTCGATATTTCTTCACCAGGACGACCTACAGTCTTGTAGGTTACCGGCCATAGTTTGCGAGCCACGATGGCCAGAATGAGCGCCGTCCACACCAGGTCGATCACCAACACACCCAACAGCAAACCCATGAACAGGTAGGCAGACGGCATGAACATGTAGGTGGTGGCCTCGAAGAATACACTGCCGATCACCCATACGGGGTACATGTAGCAGCGCATCACCAGCCACACCGCCAGGAACACAATAAAGAGAACGTCAGCCACACGGTTCATACCGGCCTGCAGGCAGAGCTTGGTGGCCAGGAGCGGCACGTCAGAACACTCGTGCACCACCAGCACCACACTACCCACACGGACGAAGTTGCACGTCCACGAAAACACCATAAGAAGGATGGTGAAGATGTGGTGCAATAAATACTGAAGGCGAGCAGACATTTTAAGGCCAGGCTTAGAGAATGATGAAGGTGGTGGACCAGTAGTAAGCGAGATACAACATATAATACCACCAGAGGTCATCGTCAAGACTGTGGTGCGGGTAACCCTCCCAACACAAGGTGATGTTCCACAGCCACGGTTTACTGTACATGATAGGGAGGCCCAGTGCGGTGAACGCCACATGACACAAAAAGTCATAGGAACAGTCCACGAACTTGTCGTACTTGGTGGAGCGGGTGTGGGCGTGGCGACGACGGAGCCACCTCTCAACCTGACGCTCTGACATGCGGCTATCTTCACATGCCTGCTTCACCACCGCTCTGGGCACTGTCACCTTATACTGCCGGTACACTGCCTCTAATACACTGTTGGCCACTGGAGGAGCAGGTCGCCAGTTGGTGATAGCCGCAGCCTGAGCAAAGAGGGAGAAGACGTATGGCTCCAGGAAGAAGCAGCGGACAATAATGAGTACAATACTAAACAACCAAGGATAGAGCCACACATGGTAAAAGTTGGGGAAGGTAAAGTGTTCAGTGTTGCGAAGATCGTCCCAGGTGATGCCAGCAGGGAGCCAGAAGTGTGCGCGCCACAGGCTGGAGCTCCACCCTTCCCACCACCACTGTCCCGCCTGTAACAATGCGTAAATTAGCTCAGCACTACACTACACTATACACTACACAACACTACACTACACTACACTACACTATACAATATACACTACACTACACTACCTAAATAACACCAATATACAACATTCATTTTCAATATTAATTATATACACAAGCTCAGGTATTATGTGAGTAAGTAACAACATGAAGACAGAACCACCATGCAGCGATACTGTGGTGTGTCACAAGCTGGACCTAAGTCAAGAATTTGTTTAACTACTAGCGTCACTACTTTGCTGTGACCGCAGGACAAGAACAGTGTGTTTACTTCATAATACAAAGCGATATATTAACTAAGGTCACAGGAGACGTTGAGGATAACACTGCCATCGTAAATAAACAAAACGTGTCCAGGCGTCCGAGAAGTTTAAGTTGAGAGTGTACAGTTATGAACAAAATCCCCTGAACACTTGGCATATACTTCTGGGTCATATATTGATGTGTTTATATCTAATAACGCTGCTTTTCGTCATACGTCAGAACCACAAAATGTAAGAACAACACTCTTTAATACAGCGAAAAAGGAAAATACCTAAAAATTCCGATCCCTTCACCAGATGATCCTCAAGTATTTACTGCACCTGATACCGCCAAGTGTCTGGGGAATTTGGTCCGCATCTGTACCTGTAACTGCACCTGTATCTGTACCTCTATTGTACCTGTATCTGTAACTGTATCTGTAACTGTACCTCTATTGTACCTGTATCTGTACCTGTACCTTAGTTATACTACATAATGCGTGGTTAGTTATACTATATAATGCGTGGTTAGTTATACTACATAATGCGTGGTTAGTTATACTACATAATGCGTGGTTAGTTATACTACATAATGCATGGTTGATTATACTACATAATGCATGGTTAGTTATACTACATCATGCGTGGTTAGTTATACTACATAATGCGTGGTTAGTTATACTACATAATGCAGTTCGTTATACTACATAATGCGTGGTTAGTTATACTACATAATGCATGGTTGATTATACTACATAATGCATGGTTAGTTATACTACATCATGCGTGGTTAGTTATACTACATAATGCGTGGTTAGTTATACTACATAATGCAGTTCGTTATACTACATCATGCGTGGTTAGTTATACTACATAATGCTTGGTTAGTTATACTACATAATGCAGTTCGTTATACTACATAATGCGTGGTTAGTTATACTACATAATGCATGGTTGATTATACTACATAATGCATGGTTGATTATACTACATAATGCATGGTTGATTATACTACATAATGCGCGGTTACTTATACTACGTAGTGCATAGTTAATTATTCTACATAATACCTGGTTATTTATACTACATAAAAATACAAAATACCTGGATAGTTTTGCTACATAATACATAGATATACTACATTATGCTTGGTTAGTAACACACACACACACACACACACACACACACACACACACACACACACACACACACACACACACACACACACACACACACACACACACACACACACACACACACAACTAATATATCGTTAAATAAAAGATGAACAATCAATGACTGATGATTGTTTAAATTGTGTGAAATTGTGCATGTATGTGTTTAAGTATATGTGCGTAGTGTGTGCATGTGGCTGTGTGTGTGTGTGTGTGTGTTTCTAATAAATAACTACAGGCGATACATGAGTTATTAAATGACGTCATCATCACACTGTTACACCTGCCATGTTAGCTTGTGGACACATGCACATTACACGCAGCAAGCAATGGACACTTACCTGAAGGTGTGGTGAGGGAAGCAGGTGACAGAGTGGGTGCAGGAGGAGGGTAGACTGGTGATGGGTGGAGTCATTTTCCCGTCCACCTTACAATGTTCTGTTGGTAGTGTAGAGCACAACATACCCGAGCACTGGGTAAAAACACCATTATATTGTTGATGTGTCAAGTGAAATCCAATAATTCGGATAAGAATCATGGTGGTCAAGCATCGCAACTTCTTGTCTGAGCAGCGCAAGACGTGCCGCTACTAGTGATTCATGCTGTCCTTGCCTCACACTACCAAGCGGTTGAGCATGTCAATTGAACATGTTTGCCTTCCTTATGCACTACATAAAAGCGATGCATATCTTGAGCACGTAATCATAGGTGTAGCAGTATATATGTTTAAGTGTTTGCGCAGCGGCAGATGGGAGAATAAACAGAAAAAAATAATATCCAAATATGGAGAGGGCGCGGTGTGGAGCGGGTCGTAATCAGCTTCCACCAACAAGAAGCTACAGTGAGGTTTTAAGCAGGTCAACAAGTGGCACCCCGAGCTAGCACCAGGTAATATCATGTTAACTAACGAAGTGGGGTGTCCACTATGGGAGATGCCTATATAAAAAACAACCATTCCTCCTCCCTCACCAACACCTGTACACACTCACAAGTATAATTCAACAAAAAATACACATTACATTGGAATATATAAGTTTGGTTTTGTATATAAATCCGAACTTTCTTTTCTTTGGGTTGATTTTATTACGATTTAAGATCACGTGAAGATTAATCACCCCTAACTTATTCCACTTGATGACTAAAACACTAACTCTACCTGGGGGAAAAGTTAGGTTAAGTCAGGTTGTTTACGATTAAGATGAAAGAAGTCAGGATGAATTTATTAATCTCCAGTCCAAAAAACGGCATGAATGTGAACGCAACATCACCCCCTCCCTCCCTCGAGTGTTTGTGTTGATGCATCGGTGAAACACATTGCCTTCCTCTGCCCACCATATCTACCTGGGGAGGGACCTTTGTGATGCAGCAATTCTTCCTATCATCCCTCACCCCTCCAAGTCCTTCCCGCCCCTCACCCCTCCTCCAACGCCCCTCACCCCTCTAAAGTCCCTTCCGCCCTTCACCACCTCCTCCAACGCCCCTCACCCCCTCTAAAGTCCCTTCCCGCCCCTCACCACCTCCTCCAACGCCCCTCACCCCCTCTTCCTATACCCCTACCCTTATCAATACCTAATGTAGCTTAAATTACCTGACTAATTTAGAAGTTAATAATCCCCAAAATATTATAGATAGAACACGCTGGTTTTATTATACTGAAATAACAAAAAATAACAACAATTCTTCTCCTCTTACTACACTTCCACATATACAACGAGTTTTATCTAAAATATTTATTGAAGTTATTAAAGTTTTGAAATGGGTCAAACAATTCATGGACTCAATACATTATATTCTGCCCTTTACTATAGCGCGTTTCTTCCTCAGCTGAAAAAACGCACTATACCAAGCTCTTCTGGTGATTAATATAGATACATCACGTAAAAAAATACACGAGGTTTTCCAAATTTTCCCTCAAAAGGTCAAAAAAAAAAAAATATCGGGGTCTTCAAGTTATCGCATAAGAATATAAGAATTAACAGTATTAGACCATATGAAGCATTAGTCAACCCTGATCACTCGTATACCTGAAGCATCCCAATGTGTTCCAATTAATTATGGTATTTGGTAACTGGTTCAAACTCACCCTCTTGTAAAATTTGAGTTAAATACATGATGCATTACAGGTTCTACGGATGTATTTCAACACTAAATCCAATATTTCCAATTTGTATTTAAATATCTGTCAAATACATTTCTAAAATTATGTATGAATTTAGGTCCAAACCTTTTAAAACAAATTTGTTGCTTGTCCAGCGGAGGTTTAGGAGTAAGGTAAGGTAAGGTAGGTAAGGTAGGGTAAGGTAAGGTGGGTAAGGGTAGGGTAAGGGTAAGGTGGAGGAGAGTGAGTGGGAGGGTAGGGTAGGGCAAGTAGGGGTAGGGGTAAAGGTAAGGTAAGGTAAGGTAAGGTGAGGAGGGAGTGAGGGGTAAGGTAGGGGTAGGGTAGGGTAGGGAGTAGGGTAGGGTAGAGGGAGTAGGGGTAGGGTAGGGTAGGAGTGAGGAGGGTAAGGTAAGGTAGGGTGGGGTAGGGGTAGGGTAGGGTAGGGTAGGGTGGAGGGGTGGGTAGGTAGGGGTAGGGTAGGGGCAGGGGTAGGGGTAAGGTAAGGTAAGGTAAGGTAAGGTAAGGGTGGGGTAAGGTGGGTAAGGGGGGTAAGGTAGGGTAGGTAGGGTGGGTAGGGTGGGGTAGGGGTAGGGTGGGGGTGGGGTGGGGTGGGGGTGCAGTAGGGGTAGGGTAGGGTAGGGAGTAGGTAAGGTAAGGTAGGGTAAGGTAAGGTAGGGTAGGGTAAGGGTAGGGTCGGGTAGGGGTAGGGTAGGGTAGGGTGGGTAGGGTAGGGTAAGGTAAGGTAAGGTAGGGGTAAGGTAAGGTAGGTGGGGTAAGGTAGGGGTAAGGTAGGTGGGTAGGGTGGGGTAGGGTGGAGTAGGGTAGGGTAGGGTGGGGTGGGGTAGGGGTAGGGTAGGGTAGGGTACAGTAGGGTGGGAAGGGTGGGTAGGATAGGGTAGGGGTAGGGTAGGTGGGGTAGGGTGGGGTAAGGTAAGTAAGGTACGGTAGGGAAGGTACGGTAGGGTAGGGAAGGGTTAGATCAAGTTAGGTTAGCTTAGGTTAGGTTAGGTTAGGTTAGGTTAGGTTAGGTTACCATCAACATTCACTATACTGTACACATTGTAAACACTTTAACGCTACCTAAGGGTTAGAGTCGGGTAGGATAAGGTACAGTGAATTAACCCCTTGAGTACGATGCTGACACAAAGTACAATGAATACACCCTTGAGTACGTCACCACCATTGAGTACGATGAACTAACGATCTAAACTCAAGAGTAGGTTATCGTGAGTTATCTTAATCCCTTGTGTATGATATCTTAGCGCTTTGAGTGGGTGTAAACCGATTGCTCTGAGTAGAATGACTTTGTACTTGGGGAGGAAGCAGCATCCTATTAAAGGGGTTAAGCCAGGTAGACATGATGGAGGGCTGGTGAGGGCTGGTGAGGGCTAGTGAGGGCTGGTGAGGGCTGGGGAGGGTGAGGAGGGGGCGATGAGGGCGTCAGATGGAACAATGAGAGGAGTGTACTGATAACTTATCTTCCTTATCATAACCGTGATCAGAGCGCCACTTTCTCTCCTTGTGGTGAAGTCAGAAAACACCCCACCCCCGACATCATCGACCCCCCCAGTATTTCTCACACACATACAACTAATTAAATACTTTCACTTAAGACTTAGAAATAAATATAAGTCGAAAAAAATAAACCATTACCTGTCTAGTTCATAGTTTGTATTAATGGTTATATATATATATATATATATATATATATATATATATATATATATATATATATATATATATATATATATATATATATATATATATATATATAATGCTCTAAGACTTTCAATTATAGAGGGAAGTCTTGATGTGTTCTCTAGGTGGGAAGATTACTGGATCAGATATGTATGTATGTGTGTCTGTGTGTGTGTGTGTTTGGACCCCTAGTGAGTATGTGTGCATGGACCCCCTAGTCAGAGTGTGCATGTGGACCCCTAGTCAGGTGTGTGTGTGTTTGTTTTGGACCCCTAGTGAGATTATGTGTGGACCCCCTAGTCAGAGGTGTGTGTGTGTGTGTGTGTGTGTGTGTGTGTGTGTGTGTGTGTGTTTGGACCCCTAGTGAGTATGTGTGTGTGTGGACCCAGTCAGAGTGTGTGTGTGTGTGTGTGTTTGTGTTTGGACCCCTAGTCAGAGGTGTGTGTGTGTGTGTGTATGATGTGTGTGTGTGTGTGTGTGTGTGTATGTGTGTCTGGTCCACTACTCTCTAATGTTCATGACAACCATATAAATCACCTTAAGATTAGCCCCAGCTTATTTCACCTTAAGATTAGCCAGCTTATTTCACCTTAAGATTAGTCCAGCTTATTTCACCTTATTAGTCCCCCAGCTTATTTCACCTTAAGATTAGCCCAGCTTATTTCACCTTAAGATTAGCCCCAGCTTATTTCACCTTAAGATTAGTCCCCAGCTTATTTCACCTTATTAGTCCCCAGCTTATTTCACCTTAAGATTAGCCCAGCTTATTTCACCTTAGATTTCCCCCAGCTTATTTCACCTTATTAGTCCCCAGCTTATTTCACCTTAAGATTGGCCCCTCCAGCCCTCTCCCTTCCCCAGATAGCATGAATTTATTGACTCAATCATCCAATGAACTATATACAGGGTTGCCTAATCTCAAGGTGATACGATTTCTCCACACACACACACACACACACACACACACACACACACACACACACACACACACACACACACACACACACACACACACACGTACGTCACATGAGTTCCCAGTGTTGTAGTCAGTGTGATAAAGTATGCATGAAGCCAAGTGAGTCGATCTATCAGCTCTGGTGTGTACTGTAGGGTGAGCCATGTGCAAGAGTCACCTACCATCATGTAATAAGTATGTGTGATAGCCTTGGTAAAGAACAGGATACATTGTGTATGAAGCACTTGGATACCTAACCTAACCTAACCTAACCGCCCCGCTAGCTTATTTCACCTAAATGTGTAACCGCCCTAACACTAAGCTAACTTAACCTAACCTAACCTAACTTCACCTCATCTAACCAAACTTCTCCACAACTTACCTAACCTAACTTCAACCCCCCCCCCCCAAATAGTGTTAGGGTGTTTAATCTTCAGGTTAAAGAGGACAATCGACGGTGTTTCTTTAGTATGTTTGTGCTGTATAAATCTTTACTAAATAAATTCACATCTATGTAACTGATGCTCCCCGCCCCTATACTTGACCGGGGTCACCTGAAGATTAAACGCCACCAGCTTATTTCAACTAATGATTAATCTACCCTAATTTAACCTAACCTATCCTAACTTAACCCTTTCGCCGCGTTTCATGCACTTGCCATTTTATTCCGGCTACCGCCAAACGATTTTATTCAGCTTCGAGTAATCTCCCGCTCCAAAAGGGCTAACCTAACCTACCCTAATTTAACCTAACTTAATCAAAGTTAACCTAACCTAACCAAAGCTAACCTCACCTCACCTAACCCCCCCCCCTCCACACACCAGGTAGTGTTAGAACATAAGGAGTCTGCAATAGGCCGGTTGGCCTGTGCATGGCAGCTCCTGTCGAGAGTTACTGCCACTCTCTATCATCCATGAATCTATCTAGCCTCCTTTTAAAACTTTCCAGCGTTCCAGCACTTACTACAAAGTTGCTAAGCTTGTTCCACTCGTCCACCACCCTATGTGTGAACCAGTTCCTTCCTATCTCCCTCCTAAACCTAAACTTATCCAACTTAAATCCGTTGCTCCGAGTCCTATCCTGCTCGGATATTATAAGAACTTTATCTATATCTCCTTTATTGATTCCTTTCACCCACTTAAATACTTATATCATATCTCCCCGCACTCTTCGTCTTTCTAGGGAATGCAAGTTTAGTTTCTTTAACCTATCCTGATATGGAAGGTTTCTAAGTCCCGGAATCATTTTCGTCATTCTTCGCTGCACCGACTCAAGTGAATTGATATCCATTCTATAATAAGGGCACCAGAACTGAACCACATAATCGAGGTGCGGCCTGACTAGCTCAAGATATAGTTGCAATATGACCTCTGCACTCTTATTACTTACACTTCTAGATATAAAACCCAATACTCTGTTTGCCTTATTTCGAACATTAACGCACTGTTTTCTAGGCCGTAGGTCCGGGCTTACAAGTACCCCTAAGTCTCTTTCACAATTCGACTTCTCTAGGTTGATGTTGTTAAGGCTGTATACATGGACAGTATTTGCTCTTCCAATAATAAGCACGCTGCACTTGCTGGTGTTGAATTTCATTTGCGGGGAGATATGATAGAAGTACTTTTTTAATCATCAGATAAAACAAACTAGGGTGGGGAACTTATTCTTCAACGAGACAAAACAAAACTAAACGAAGGAACTGTAATCATGCTTAAACAACTGAGTCTTATACAACCGAGTTTCATATAACAACTACCTGTATTTAGTCACCCCCCCCCCCACACACACACGAGAACTGGGTAAGGATATAGAAAAAATATTAATATTGTATTGTTGTCTTGAATAACAATACATCTTTTATGTCGATTTCAAAATACAGGTTGTCAAAAAATCTAACCCCATTTCAAAACTTAAATAAAGACTACAATATTACAGATGTTTCTATACTGTAATCACTGTAATGGATCAAGTACAGGAAATTACAGGTTCATTTTTCTTTATTTCAGAACCTTCAATGTTTACGAGTACAGTATTTTAAGACGTGCAGTAAAAAAGAAACAAAAATCAGTAGGAAAAAATAAGCGTCTGATCTTATGGTCTTAATTTATTGTGAAAAACATAAATGATTTTCAGCAATAGTCTTTTTTTTTCACTGATTTTTAGGTTCCTGTTTACTGTACGACCTAAAATATAGTAATAATAATAATAATAATAATAATAATAATAATAATAATAATAATAATAATAAACGACCCAGTGTTAGGCCCCAAAAACTCCAAATTATGTATTTTGGGGGCAAACTTTGACCCCTCTGTAAACTGACCACTTGGTTAATATATCTATCCACGGGAGATAAACAAAGCTAGTAGGAAGCAGTGTATAGACAGACACAGACACAGACACATGCTGAACAACTTTCTTTATTGATACAAACATTTGGGTAACAGAGTCTGGTCATGGGAAACAAAACTGACTGACTGACTGACTGTGATCCAGGCAGCCGACACGTTGAGGAAGTATGGTGACGACAAAGCGCTCCTAGAGGTTACATTAATCAGTTATGTTTCTTGGGAATAATTCACGACATACGATACAAGGTGGTGGAAGAATTCATCACCTGTACATCTACACTAATTAACAAGATAATTATTAACCTTGGTCTACCTGTACGGGAAATATTGGAAATGGTCACATAATCTGCACGTTTATTTTATATACAGTACATATTATTCCCAGTACAGTATTTACACTGTAAACAGAACGAGGTATATAACAATGTAGGTATAACCAGGTAGGTATAACCAGGTAGGTATAACCAGGTAGGTATAACAAAGAACAACTATACTGTATTTGTTATAACCTAAACTGCAGATACACAGGGACTTGTAGATCACCCTGTATTAATGAGAAGCAACAAGACACAATGCTCTAAGTCTAACAACGTTCTTTAAATGATATACAGTCAGCGTCCATGTAACTCACATGAGGTTAATGCACAGGTTAGGTTATGTATGCAACATGTACTGTACAGTCACCCAAAAGACCCTCTCTACTTGAGGTGATCGATGAATTTCAGAATGAACACTGACTCCTATTGTCTCGGTAGGGTTGTCAAAATCCTTCATCCGTTGTGTAATATGTTTTTTCAACACAATTTTGTATAGATAGTTTTTCGAGTGACTGTGCTGTACGGATGCTGATTGTATACAGTATATGTGAAATATATGGAATAATCACTTCACTCCACACTACACAACCTCACATAACAGTGTATCCAAAAAATATTAATATGTTAATCTGTGATAATAAACAACTTTCAAACCTGAGGTATTATTACACAACCATCACACGTCACGGTAACGAGTTGCTAGAGTCACGGTTACTGCCAGGTGACGTTAGGTTAAGTGGGTACGTTAGATTAGGTTAGGGTGGTTAATCTTCAGGTGAAACAAGCTGGGGTGTGTAATCTTCAGGTGATCATTTAAAAATTTACATATAAAATTTTGGCAATGACATACAACACAATGTCGCTGTGTACACGACATTCAGCTGCAAGACCTCGTTTTCCTGGACACTACCCCAGACAACACGGCTGCCCAAAGGTCTTCACTCAGACCCCCAGGATCAGTAGGTTGTTTTTATTATCGTTAATTAATTCACAGCCTCTTATTCCACACCAGATCGTACTATAAATAATATAAAGATAATAATGATTTCTCCAAGACTGTAGTGAAGACAGAAGGGTAGTGTTTTATCTCTCGGGGACTACAGGAAACAATAGAGGCACTTACGAGATAACGGGATGTAAACATTGCACATTTCTTTGGTTCTAGCGAGAGCTGAGAATGTAATTGTGAAAATAATTATTGAAGATAAACTTATAAATCCTTTTTCTGCGATTCTTCATCTTCCTCGTCGTCTTCTAACGAATAGTCAGTTGAGGAACGAACGTCCTCCATCTCATTATATCGTACCTTACGGACGACGATTCTGAGGATGAGGTAAGTCCAGCCTATGTGTATCAACAAGAGTAATAACAGCATGCCGTTGAAGATGTAGTACACAGGGTACCAGGCGCCGATGACCACGTGGGCCTGGAACAGTGTGCTCCTCAAGATCCAGATCGGGAAGAGGCCAGTCCTCGTTGTGAGCCACACCAACAAGAACACCACGAACAACTTGTCCATAATATCCTTTCGACCACACAACTTAAACATCTTGGCCAGAAGCATGGGGATGTCGGCACACTCATGCAGCACCAGCACCAATGATCCTAGTCGGGCAAAGTTACACACCCATGAACATGAAATGAGCAAGATGGTGAGTACATGATGCGCAAAAAGTTGAAGCGAATCCTTGCGTTGGTGTTGAATGGTGTGAGTGATGGTCATGCACCAGTAGTACCCGACAGCTATCATGTAGTACCACCAAATGTCCGCGTCAACATCGTGTTTGGGGAAGTTATACCAACAGTGACGGATGTCCCACAGCCAAGGTTTGTCCCAAAGGACCACCAAACCGAAGACACAATAAAGGGTGTAGTAGGTCGTCTCCCACGCCATATTAGAGAACTTGCCTAAATCTGTGGTGCGCGCTGATGATGCTCGCTGCCTCAGCCACCTTTCCACCTGCCGTTCCGTCCAACCTAAAGTATCTGCAGCTTTACGAACAGTTTCTTCTGGCGCTCGGCTACGATACTGGTGGAAGATGGCCTCCATAGTGACACTAGGTGGTGGTGGACGCGAGCGTATATCTTTCACACCCAGGGCCAAGCCGATAGGTGAGAAAACAAAAGGGGTGAGCACAAGGTAACGCAGCGCGATGAACAACGCGGCTATGACAAACGGGTAGGTCCATACATCGTAGAAGTTAGGGTAGGTGAACTGCTCATCCTGGGTAAGGGACTCCCAGGTATAGCCCGGGGGCAGCCATACATCCTCCGACCAGAACCATTTGCTGAAGTGTGTCAAGGCCATCCTAAAGGAGAGGTCCAACCAAGGTTACCACACGTCATCACACACACACACACACACACACACACACACACACACACACACACACACACACTACACTTCCATCATAATAATAACTTCTTTTTCTTATATCAATATATCCAATATTTTTCACATCAACTGCAGTTCTTGACTTATTATTATGAGAAGATATAAAATAAATGCATTACAACCCCGACTCCTCAGAGTTTGCGGGACACACACACACACACACACACACACACACACACACACACACACACACAAGTGGAGGACGAGACTAAGATACTGGACAACTCAACCACAATAAGCAACACCCACAAGCATCAACCACAACAAGCAACACCCACAAGTAACACCCACAAGCACCAACCACAACAAGCAACACCTACAAAGCAACACCCAAAGTAACACCCACAAGTAACACCCACAAGTAACACCACAACAAGCAACACCCACAAGTAACACCCACAACAAGCTACACCCACAACAAGTAAAACCCACAACAAGTAACACCCACAACAAGCAACACCCACAAGTAACACCCACAACAAGCAACACCCACAAGTAACACCCACAACAAGCAACAACAACCAAAAGCATCAACCACAACAATCTCTCCCTCATACATACATACATATGGACTGTTGACATACATACATACATACATACATACATACACACATACATACATACATGCATACATACATACATAGAACCATCATGTACAATTAAGATATACAGACAACAATTATTAAGATATACAGGGTGTCCATAAATGATTACCACAGTTTTTTAGGGTAATCATTTATGAACACCCTGTATATTCAGACAAACAGACAGACAGGCATACACTATAGGCCTACATATACCGGGTGGCTGGGAAGAGAGACACGCGGTACAAAAAGAAAGTGAAGCTACTGTGTCAGGCTTCACTTCACCTTATCACTTTATATGACATTTTAAGGACGATGATTTAAGCTGTAAATCTTTTAATGTCATCAGTCACAATGGGTCAAACTATCGCACTTAATGGTGATGTAAGTTGCACCATGGTGAAATGTGTGTGTGTGTGGGGAGGGGGGGGGTGTTTGTGTGTGTGTTTGTGTGTGTTTGTGGGTGTGTGTTTGTGGGTGTGTCCTCGACATGCTCATAGTGTGCAGAGCGATTATGCAACCCGTAATGTTTCAAAGTTGCTTCAAGCGTGAAACATTACGGTGGTACAGAGGCAGAGTGTTTGACCACCCACGGAATCAGATCACTTGAAGATTAACAACCTCACCTTATTTCATCTAATGCATAAACAACCTAATGCTATCTGGTTACCTTAGGTTAGGTTAGGTTAGAATAGATTAACCTTAGGGTGGTTTATCTTAAGGTGAAATAAGATGAGGGGGGGAAACCTTCAGGTGATCCAAAAATTCATTGGCGAAACACACACACACACACACACACACACACACACACACACACACACACACACACACACACACACACACACACACACACACACACACACACACACACACACACACACACACACACACACACACACACACACACACACACACACACACACACACACACACACACACACACACACACACACACACGCGCGCGCGCGCGTCGAATAAACTCAATCAATACTGCCAGAATTAATTACAAAGTCTGATCAATCAATTATACAAAAAAGTTTGTTATAACTTCACAAAATCACAGAAAGACAGACAGACATCCGCAGACCCAGAGATCCCCATGATGGAAGGACAAACGAATGGACGAACGTACTCACACGATTACCACAAACCTTGAGGTAACATTCAGAAGCTATTTACAAGTTACACAAAACAACATAATCTAGAATATACCTTTACACCAAGAGACCCAGAGTAGACCAACTCCTCCCAGTGACAGGGGGAACACAACAAGGTGAGCGGCGGGCGAGTTGGTGGAGCGCGAGGGGGCAGCACCAGGGGTACAGCATTGGGGGTGTTCCTGATAATATGATCCTCCCTCCCTGCCTCCCTCCCCTTCTTCCCAGAACGCCTGGTAGTACTATCATATCAACATCACTTCCTGACACCTCGCCTATACTCTACCACGTCATTCATGCCCTTAATAAAAGATAATAATAAATTGGACAAACGAGAGGATCGCCCGAAGAAAGCCCAGTTTATTTTACCTAATGAATAAGCTCCGTAACGCTACGTTGAGGTAAACCAGTCATGAACATATCACAACCAAGCTACAGTATACAGTACGTCTCATGGGTCGTTTACACACGTCTCATAAGTCGCGGAAAGTAATGCACTCGCTACACAGTTGACAAAGACAACACCCATATGATAGTCGATTAAATTCTTTCGCAAACTGATCAGTGTGTAGCATCTGGCTTTCTGTACACGGATATTAAACTGACTCTTTCCTCTCGTGTTAACTCCACTGTCAAGACTTCAGGCCACCTGGCTTATTGCATCATGAACTTTGTAATTACTACATTGAATAGGGGGTGCTTGAGGATTCTTGCTGTTTATCCATAATTTGCTGCTAGCCCACACTGATTAGTCTTCAATTAGGATATGACTCCCAATGTATACGAACCACTGTCCCGCATGGTAGTGAACAGTGACATCACCCACATGACTCTGACCTATATATACTACGAATGAATATGATGTATTTCTTTGTGTACGAACCTCTGTCCTGCGTGGCAGTGAACAGCGACATCAACCCACATGAATTTGACCTATATATACTGCTAATGAATAAGATCTATTCCTTTGTGTGTGAACCTCTGTCCTACGTGGCATTGAGAAGTGATACCACCCTCAGTATCAAGACCTGACTGAATTACTCAGATTAGGCAAACTGTACTCCAAGCTTTGCCAATAAATTTGTTAAACTAAAAAACTCTATTGTCTACATTGATTTCTTATCATTCCCTAACTTGAAAAACGGAGAACACTAATTTTCCTAAAGCGTGCGGCCATCAGGTTTACTCTATATACCAGAGGTTGTGTAATACGGTGAAGAAACTTTTTACAGTAAGTACAAGAGGCTCTCCACGGTGCAGGTAACTGAATGGCAGCTTCTATACGCGTATTAAAAAAAATCAACACACACCTTTCTGTAAAAGTTTGCAATATCTGTGAAACACATACAATAATTAGAAAGAATGGAAAACCCTCTAGCACACATCTACCAAACGACACGGTGCTATACTGTATCTAAATGGGAAAGCATTACAGGATAAAATGGGTTTCTACACTGTCTGATACTGACAAAGAAGAATAAAATTATCCACAGTAGATAAACTGACTCTCGACCTTTGAAGTGGCACCTCGTATCGATCCTCTTCCCGTCGCTCAGACCTGCGCGAACGCCACAAAAATTTCGAGTGAAGTGAATGACTTCCTTCCCGTGGCATCTAGTGTTTATACATACGGCAAGATGTTAAGAGTACACCAAATGGAACCTCCACCACCATCAAGCACACCTAAATGTGTACACATCTAATTGCTGAATGCGTACAGGCTCGTGTACAAAGAGGGAATCCATTCTTACCCCTGGCCGGGAATCGAACGCGGTAATCATTTGTTATGTAAATGCTCTACCACTGAGCATCAAGTAACGTCTTCAGTACACTTATGTTATAAAACATCTAAAAATATCACGGCATAAATGTAATTACATTTTTGTAAAACTATTTAAAGTGTATGATGATGGAATTCTACAATACAACAGTGCTTACGTGTAATACGTACCAACATTTTACTCAGCGTTATTCTGTCCCACAACGTAATTCTATGGCTACTAGACATGGTGCACTGGTTAACTCTTCCAGTAAACAGAGACGAAAATAACCGTATTAATGAAATTGAACCAATTCCCCACTGACGTCGCTAGTATCTTGGACACCCCAGTACAGTACTGTACCAGACTACGAGAGGCGACAGTCATGGACTCCACCACTGATGGCCGCAAGAGTCGCAATTTAAATCAGTGCAGGAAGTGATTCCAAGTACTGCTTTCTTTTAATATTAAAGTACCTCGGGGTACACGGGGATTTTTGTTTATCAAAAACAAGATTCCTCGCTGTCTAGGTACTCGAGGTAACGACTTAGTTGACAATTAAACGAGCACCGAGTACTGTATAAAGAACACGTGCAATAGCCTACCACCAACAGATCATGAACAAATAGGAAATTATTTTGCGGGGAAAACACCTAGATCTATGTAACACTTTCTCACCTGCTGCATGATACAGAGACATAACACAGTTACAGGATCATATGAGGTGGTGTAGGTAAGCTGAAGGGGAGGGCCCACTATACTACCTGATGCTGGGAGGTACAGTACTTATGTGTCGCGGTTGGAATTACACGGGGTCTATTGGCCCATACAAGGCAATCCAGTTTTCACCCAGCCCATATCACTCGCATATCTATTCATTATATATTTTAAACTTCCCAATAAGTTGGAGTAACGATGGTGTCCAGGCAACATAATGGTCATTCAATGTTTTATAATGTATATAATGTAAATAATTACTATCAGTTTATACCTGTTAGCGATGTTGGATCACCTGAAGCTCAGCCCTCCACAGCGAATTTCACCAGAAGATTGACCACCCTACAGCTACCTGGAGCTTTGGTTGGGCTAGATTATGTTAGGTTAGGTTACATTGGGATACAACAGTTTATGTTAACGTAGGGTAGGTTAGCATTAGGGCGATTAATTTTCAGGTGAAAGCTGAGGGAGGTCAATCACCAGGTGATCAAAGATACAATCGGTAACAGGGCCACCTATATAAACAATTATTGTCAATATACTTCATAAGAATTTTTTCGAGACACTGTACAGCTCAAGATGTTAAATATTCCTGAGACTTGCGAGCCATGTATTTGTTTCAACTACCTAGTTTCTGACCTCAGATAAATGACGATTTAAAAGGTTAACGTGACGAAGTAAGGTTGGCAGTGAGTGCACACGTCAGGTAAACGTTAGTAGCGTATGATAACGTAGAGATAAGCTTCCTGATAACGGCTCCCCCTCTCCTCTGGCCTCATGTGATAAGCGCTTACTAGCAATGACATCATCGTCTACAACATACATTCCTACTGTGAATTTATTGTAATCCTGCACCGTTCATTTGATACGTTCCCAGAACTATCTCTCTCTTTCCCTCACCCAAACGTTCCTTTAACTTGTGATGCTTCCCTCGTGCTGCCACCAATTCCTTTCCCTGAATCTATCTGTAGACGTGAGTGGGTAGATCTGGTTTGTGGAGGTGGGGTGAATTTATTAGAGCCTCCCCCCCACCGGTCATAAAGTCACAGGAAAAAAAAGTCACAGAAAAAAGTCACAATTTTGGCTAGGAAAAAAAGTCAATTAATTTATGGTGGCCGGTAATAAAGGTTGAGTTAGGTTAGGTTAGGTTAGGTTAGGTTACCATCAGTTCTGCATACTCCTTTACTGAAACTGATTGACACATTAACCTTAAAAAATATGAGAATTCGATAGTTAACTTTTCTTTTTTCCCGTGACTTTTTTTCCTGTGACTTTTTTGTGACTTTTTTTACCTGTGACTGTTTTACCTGGATTCCCCCCACCACCACCGCAATGTTCTTGTCCTGACAACATTATCATTAACAAACAGCACCCGCTTCCACCCCACGTTATTTACATCCACTTCTCTCCCTCTCTCTCACTACCTGGACAACCATCGCCGCTTTACCCTCTCCAGTATGTTCGTTTCTTGCTTATAGTCTTTAACCCTCGTGATCACATCTAGGCGCAACAGTAACAACTGCCTAATTAAAAGAACCATTGCTTGCTTGTTGCACCTAATGACAAGACCCTGTCAAGGTTTAAGATCATAAGATGCCCCACCTCGTCTCAGATTCAGGGTAAAAATTTAGATTGTGCGGTAAAAAGCTCGATGCCTTTCCATACCTGTACAACAAAATTACCCTGTACTGTATATGGAAACAAGAGACTTAAGAATAGAATGACGTATGGCAGGTAGAATTGGTTTATACCTCATTGGTACAGGAGCAGCCTTATCACACCTCATGCTGTATGAAAACCATATTAACCAAACTTTCAATAACTAACCAAAAACGTAGAAAATATACCGATTATATCAAGCATGTATGAGTTTCACATACACCACAGATGGAGAAGTTAAATCTGTTATAAAGCTATCGTGTTCACAACTCAGACATAATACTCAATGCACATAATTTCAAGTTATAAATAACTACCGGACCAAGACTAACAAAACTAGCAATTTACGTATGGCTAACTGAGGAGAGGAAGATATCAAAATACCAGCTCACAAAGACAGACTCAAAGACAAGTTAAATGCACAAACCACAAATTCGCCACCAAACAATTAAGCACCAACAATCAAGAAACTAGGCGTACAATCTAACTATAACACACAGTTACTAGAGGTACAGTACTGCCCAAATCACAAGCCAAAAGATACAGTACATTGCTTACCAATCTCTGTGATGGCTATAGACAGAGAAAAGACTGTGAATGGGAGTATGATCTTGGTGGGGCGACAGTGAACTGATTGTCCGTGCTCAGTGGAAAGATGGTTATGGAGATAATGACTACTCCCTCACTTATCACAGCCCATAAACTGATAACTGCCCTACACTTTTGAGGTCACATATACCTGTTACTGATAGAGAGGCACAGAGAGAGATTGTGTGGGGGGAAGAGGGGGGGAGATTGCTTCTTGTAAAAAATAATTTAAGGTAATTAAATTACCTACACATCACAAACATTTTTAAAGGGAAAATTACATTAGGGGCAGCATGGATAAGGTTATGGTGACCTTAATTCAAGCTTCCTGCAACAATTTCTTCCTTAAAAAAAACTGTTCAGTACAGTGTACAGGGTATTATAAAACTTGAATCATAATCAAACCAGGGTCAGATTATCCATTAGGCACCGTAGGCACTGTGTCAAGGGGGTCCAACAACATCGAAGCCTTCGGAGATACTCAATTTGACAGGGATCCTGCATAATGGGAACCAAATGCTGACCTTCACCAATACTTTGTTAAGTACCTACCTTCTCAGAATTTGAAAAATCAGGTTTAACTTCTGGGAATACAGTACCAGTATGGTAACAAGAAAAGCTATGCATGAGATTAATAATTTGAAAGGGTATTGGTCAATGGATAAAGTTGCAAGAGATTGGCTAGTACTGTACTGTGTATTCCCCATTAACTGGAGAAGTATACTGCTGTATGTGCAAACTTTTTTCACCAGGTATTCAGTTTCGGAAAATCAGCTCCAATGAGGTTTTGAAGACTGGATAAATGCCACTTCAAGAATTCAGTTACAAGAGTTCTCCAAGGATCACCTTAATTCAATAGCACATAGGACTGAACTGCAAACATATATTTTGTCTTTCCACAACTTCAGATTGATCTTAAATCAGGACAGCTTGTCAGTGAGGACAAAGTTGTGACCCCTAGATTGCATAGAAGCATTCAAGCAATTAATTCACCAAATAAATCAGTGAAGCAGGATACTCGGAACACCCATTTTGGTTCAGAGAACCTAGCAGCCCAACCATGTTTTATGAGTGAATCTAAAATCCAGGAGTAACTCAGCAGCTCTTGATTAAAAAAGGACACACAAACAGGACAATAAATGGAGATGAAACAAGGAGAGAGATACTTCCAAAATTGACACGTCATTAAAATACCCGTGTGACAAATAAAAGCAAGAGAAAACAAGATCCCCCATACATAGTTACACAAGTGTTTTAACAAAATCTATAACAAGCCAGCTGTCGTCATGTACCGGTCAATACCAAAATGATAACTAAAGTGAAGTGTTTGCAGCCTTGACGACAATAACGGCCTCACGATCAGTTGAACAGTCCGGTGACCATAATTTGGGTCGTAACCCATAGTCTAAAAACCACTGACCTATACAATACATATCTTGTGAATGTCAGGCAGAAGGCCATCAACACATCCAGTGGCAGCACTGACTAACACACCATAAATAACACAAACTGTATCTCCAATAAATGTTCATACAGGTACAGTATTTCCATATTCAGTTTACACACTGAATATGTATTCACTGTACCTTACACATTTTTTTTCCTTTTATTGTTAAATAAATAAAAATAAAAATGTAAAAAACACTTGGCAGTACTGTATACCATTGCATCCTAAGGTGCCACCGGTGGTAGGGTTATGGGCGAATTGTAATGAGGAGGAAGAAGTATAGGTAGTCTTTCAAGTGCTCATAGGTTAGACCTAACCCTATCCTGCACATGTGGTTACTCGAGAGGCTTGAAATAAAATCTATATATTTTACAATAAGACATTTATTAGAGAATCTACGAGACCAAAAATTAATTCTACCCCATTTTCAAATTGTTTTATTGGTAATTCACAAAATATTTCACGATATAATGACATGAAGATTAAATGCAATAATTTTTTCACTTGGTTGACATTCACAAGTAACAGTATACAGTACTGATAGTAATTGTTTCCTGGGAGGTGGGTAACACATATACTGAAGTACATTAATGGACTAAAGTTGTACAAAGACACACATACACAGTATAATCCCCTGCTAATGTGCTATTGCTCCATAGCCTTTTTTGCTACGGTGCAATTTTGGAAATAAATTCAACTTGTGTCTAGAATACCCAAGATTGCTCAGAGAACTAGTAAGTGCACCACACAATCTGTCAGGTACACTCTAACAGGCAAGGTTTGAATAGTACAGTACAGTACATGTTTCATCAGTCACTAGTCTGCCTTCTTTTAGTTCTTTCAATCATTGTTCTCCAGTTGTTATTATACAGTACAAGTGAATGCCTTATTCCCATATCAGTTGTCACGATGCCATCTACCCGTGGCCAGAAAAATATGGCTGGTACCCTAGCACCCCCTACAGGTACTGTTCATGGCAGAAGATGCACTCATTTCTCCCTAACCCTCCATATACCACACTAATCATTTGCTTATAAGCATGATAGTGATTAATGTACACCAACAACTTATTTCTATAAACACCCCCTGTTCAATGCACAAGATTTTTTTTTTATTATATATACTGAGCATTTACCAATCAAATTTTCAAAATTTATCAAAAATTAAAAACAGGAAGTTGAATTCAAATAATTAGTTTACTGGATTTAGTTATGTTTATTGTAGAACTACATAAATAATAAAAGGGCCAAATAAACACACAAATTAACATCACTGATACACTAAAAAGTAAGCCCCACTCTCAAAGGACCACCACCATCACTCAACCAGTCGTCAGAGTACTGGACAGGAACTCGCCACAAACTAACAGACTGAACCATCAATACCATCATCTTGCAACATAAAGCCTGTAGTACTGCAGTGTTCATTATGTAGGAAGGATTAGTTTCTTTTCCACAAAATATCAATGTTTTTCAACCTTGATTTGCAATTACTGTACAGGTATTTATTTCTGGTTTGCTTTGTTTTTAATAAATCTCTGTAGCGTACCTCATACATTAACAAGGGATTACTGTGTACAGTATGAGTACTGTATTGTACTACAGTGCACAGTAATGAAATTCTAATGTATATCTTCATACAATAATTTGTCATGTATATTAACTCCAAAAAAAAATCAATTGAACAAAATTTGAAAAAACATGTAAACCTGCTTTAAAACTAATACGTAATTAACAAATGTCAATACAGTACTGTAGTATAAGTACTCAAATTATTGCATGTTTTTTTTTTTTACAGAAGTCAACAAAACATCAGCTTCCAAATAGCAGGTGGAGAAAAAGGTGAACACGTACAACTTATGTCATTACTCTGCTGCTGAAATTCCTTATATGGAAAATCAACAACATACAAAATACAGCACAAAATTTGTCTTCCCCTGTCTTGTAAACAAAATTTTTTACAATCCTCACATTTTCTAAATGCATTATGGCACATACAGTGCAGTATTACTTGTTTACCCATTTTGCTATATTTTACTTCACTTTGAAAACCTAGACAAAATCTTATTAATCTCCGAGTGATGGTCCAAGAGTTTTCTACACCACTCCAATACTGCACAGTGCCAGAAGACAAACCATTACATTTCACATTTCAACCTATTTCACTTATTTGAGGCCCTAAAGTACGATGCTTCCAGTGACAGTAAATCTAATAAGAATGTTGAAGTTACTGAAGATTGTGAATCCTAATTATTATATTGCCAGGTACAATATGTTCAAAGCATTTTATAGATAAACCAGACTTTTGAAGCACTTGATATTATTAAAACATGTGTACCCTGTAAGGTGTTGTGTAGCTTTTAAAACTTATTCTAGTCTCTTTATCATATCACAAAAGATAAACAAAAAATATTACATTCATAAAAAAAATAAAGTGTCATTTACAATATTATGGCAATATGGGGAAGAAAGAGGCGATTTTAAAAGTTGATGAGCAGTGCATGAGAAAAGGCTGTGGAAATGTGGTTGCTGCTAATGAAATAAAGAATTCTTTGAGAAAATATTACATTCATTTGCTGAGGGACAGGGGCAGTCTAGAAGCAGTAGATCCAGTACAGGAACCATGCCCAAGGATTGCAAGAGAATGGAAGAAGTAAGAAATTGACAAAATGAAGAATGGAAAAGTTCCTAGTAAGCACTGGATTACTGTACAGTATTTGCAGAAATGCCTCAGATGATGCTGGTATGACGGTGGTGACTTAGTTGGCGAATGCAATTCTGGTGGAATGTGTTTCTGCTGACTGGATGAAGAGTGATTGTGAATATTGTACTGTACTTAAAATAAAATGCTGATGCACCTGAATGTGGAAACTACATGGGCCTGAAGTAGTTACATTCAGTTATGAAATTTATAAGAGTGATTAAAAAATTAAAAAGGGAAAGAGAGGACATTAATGAAATGCAGTTTGGATTCATGCCAAAAGGGGACTGAAGACATTATTTATGGCCAGGAAACTACAAGACAAATATTCAGAGAAAAGAAACCTGGGCAGTTAAAGAGAATGGTAAACAAAGGCTTGAGCAAGTTGAAATGACAATGGCGAAATGGATGTGTAATGTAAAATTCAGAGATAGAAAACCCTATACAGTACATTGGTCAGATCCTGTGTAAGGCAGACTGAGATGGTTTGGGCACATAGAAAGAAAGGAGGAGACCAATTGGACAGAGGTGCAAAAGTTTGAATATGGTGCGGAGACGAGTTAAGATTGGGCCATGAAGGATACAGGAAGAGACTATGATAAATGACACCAGAGATAAGAACCTGATGAGAGGCTGCAAGGGACCATACAGCTTGGAGGGCTGTCATCAGGTAATTACAGCAAACCCACACAAGTGTAGAAAATGGCCTCATCTATATTTCTTTGTGACACATTGTGCAGGTTTTGTGCATGTGTGTGAGAGCTAAAGTATAAGTATGTGTGTTACACTTTATGTCCACAAGTGTGTGATTATATAAATACTGGCAGACTGTATATGTTTTACAGTACTGTATTGTGCTTGTTAATGCATGTGCATGTACAGTACTAAACTGTATGTTAATCTTTGCTAGTAATTTTTGTACATCTGCACTCACTGCA